TTATCTACATTAATATTACTAAGATTATGGTTCATAAAGAAACAGATTTGGAGATTTGGTCTTTAACCCTTTTCAGTCCTGAATTCTCCAGTTTCGATATGATTTTGCATTCCCCCATGGGGGGGTTAGGGTTAAACACTATTGATTTGCTCAACTCATTTGTTGACTCTTTAAGGAAAAAAAAGCAAACAAGATTATCTCGCCCAGGCAACCTTTTACTCTACTCAGCAAGTGTTTGTGCCCATAGCTTTGCGAAACTGCGCCTGTGACTGACTCGACCATCTCCAAGGAACCATAAATTGTCGAGACACACCTCATACAACCGGCTCAATAACATGATAAGGTATCTTCCGAGTAAACAACATAGGTCTGCCAGTGTTTGCCAACACGCAGTGAATGGTTTCCTCTCTATTGGAAAGTGCAAAAACAGACGGAAGCTTTGAATTCTGTTCCTTTTGGGGGGGAGATACCCAAATACACAAATTCGATAGAAAACCCACAGAGTTACATGTAGAAGCGAACATGAGGAGCAGGGAGAAAGAACCCCCCCAAAAAAAACCCAGAAAAAAATCCAAATCAAATTTCAACGGCCGAGGAAAAGACTCCCACTGGGCGGTTTAGAAACCTGGGTGTATTGTGTTCCAACAGCCCAGGACATGGGCCCAGCGCTTGTGGATTGAGTTTCATTCAGTGCTGGTTGTGTCAATGTTTGGAGAATTTCGAGGCTGCCAGGTTTGAGATTACTCACAAAAACGGGAGGGACAAAAATTTTTTCAGGAAGTGCCTCACAGGGATGTCTTCCGAGCGTGCTGATCATTCCGGATATTAAGGTGGATGGAGGCTGTCGCTCGATTTAAGAAAAAGGTAGGGCATTCATGCAGAGTTCTCTCGGCTGCATAATGACCCCCCCCGCCCGTGACCAGAATCAGGCCAGCATTACCTGAAAAGACACGAAAAAAGTGGAGTTCATGAGTCCAAGAGGAAGTTTGAGAGATGTTGGTTTCCCTTTGTTCCCCTCAAAGGGCTCTCACTTCGAGTGAAGGAGCCTTCTGAGCATGCCACATTTCCCTCAAACATTTTGTTGTCAGCAGGTCAGTCCCAAACCTTCCCCCCCCCTTAAAATTTTGACTTTAGTTGGAGAAAGCTGTAGAGACTGGCCAGACTGGACACAGAACGTGGGTGTGTGTACATTACTGTGGATTCACAATTTCTGTCTGCAGGTCTGCAAGCACTGAAATGTCACGACCCCGAACAATTAGAGGGAGGGATCCTGTACAATTTTTTCTCTTACATTTTCATGACACTTTTGTGGCAAGCCTGTAAACAGGCTTTTGCCATCTAATGTCTGTGCAGGATTTGACAGCAGTTTCACAAATCTGGATATGTATTACAGTTCTTGGAAAATGCCATGAAATGTTAACATTTTATCCTCGTACAAGATGGTGTGGTCATCACAGAGAGTTATGTCAAAATTTACAAAGCACAAAATGCATGTCATATGAGGTTATACATGTACATGTAAGTATACATTTCAGTGCATTTACATGTACAATAAACTTTTGCATTGTGATGGCTGAGAGCAGGAGATCACGCTTAACATGTGGCCTGTGTGTACCAGCATAGAGAAAGGAAGCAATATTCATGTACATGTACACCACATGATGTTTTGACTGGAGCTGGTTTTTGCTGAGCAAACATCTTCAACTTGAAGCAAATACTGGCACCTGTGCTTACCAAGTGCAGGAAATTGGCTCTTGTGGGTAAGGTACTGGTAGGCAAAATGGTCTATTGTAAAGGTTTTTTTTCTGTTTTCTCTTCTTTTTTTTTCTTTTTTTGGAGGGGGGGGAGGAATTGGTGAGAGCTACCGTACATGTACATACAAATAACACAGCAGTCATGGGTGGTTTGTGCCCTGCTTTCATCTATCACCATCTACCGGTAAGCGTGATGTCACCCACTGTTTTACCACCCCATGACAGAGGGGTTTTTTGGGGGGGACAGTTTTTTCACCAGCTCGTGGAAAGCACAAAAGTGGTGCAGATAGTGTGAGCATCTTTGTATTGTTGAGGTTAAAGTGTCTGTTTTCATAAGATGTATCAGCATTTGTTTCAAAGTGCATATAGTCAGCCACTCATTAGTAATACTGTACATCTCCCTGATCCTTTAAATAAACCAGGTTTTTTTCTTTCTTTCTTTTTTAAGTGAAATGAAATAACTTTTATTTTTAATGCCCCTTAAAGGTGCACATACTGTACGAAGAGAAGCATGGTTCCTCACGCATTGGCCAACGTTTCGATTCTGAAAGGTTTCTTGCAGAAGAAACCAGGTGTTATAGTGAAAGTACATGTACATGCACACTGTGCATGTACTCTCAGTCCCCTGAAGTTCTGAAGTGCTCTATTTTCATTGGCTTCATGACCAGTCACTATCATTATGCATGGGAGTTGCTGTCTAATTGAGTGTTATCTGTGATTCAATGGAGCCTGCGGCGACTCCTCTTGGTGACTCCCCGGCAGTGGCTTATGTGTGCAAATTTTACGTGACATCGTTTCAAGCAGAAATGTGACAGAGTTCCTGATAAGCTCGTCTCCAAAGCAAGAGGTCATTCCCCAGACTAGTCCAGACTTTGCTCAAGTTATGCTTGCTGTAACTTGTGTAAGGCGGGTTTACTGCACGATGTGGGGAAGGGAGGTTTCAATAGCTTAACAGCAAAAACGCTACTAGGGGCTAGAGCTATCTATGTGTTAGGTGGAGTCTGTACGCAGTCCCACCATGGGAATGAAAAGATCTAATTTGACAAAAGCTGAAACTGAAAGCGAGACTTTAAGCGGACGGATGTCACAGGCACGCATCACAGCCAAGGGCAGCCAGCAATGCCAAGGATCTGGTTGCCTAAGTCCATTCTCTGGGGTCTAGGTTATATTGCCATCCAGTGGAATTTTATCAGCAAGCTTTCAGTGCTCTTTTTCCCCCCAACAAGTGTGTGTTCAGCTGTCCTGGTGAAGCCACGCGGTAATTCATCATTGGGAACAAACATGATCCACCATCCAGTGGGGATTATTTCCCTAACTTAGGTGTTACAGGATCCCACAAAATGAATTTGAAAGGCATATTCGCAGTGGGCCTTACATGTAATGTTGGCTTTGAAGGGAGCAGTGTACTCTTTGTTTTTACCTAATGAAAATGGGCATCATGTTTGGAAATAAACCTGGAAGATTCCTGTTGATTGACATTGCAAGATTCACCAAAAGAAGGCCTGCAACTCAACAGTGCCCAGGCACTTGTGACTCATTTTAGCTTGGTCACATACAAAATAGCATACTTCTCTGCCACAGGGGGCGTGGAACTCAACAGTGGCTCTGAGCTCTTGTGACTCATTTTTGCTTGGTCCCGTACAAAATAGCATACTTGTCTGCCACAGCCTTGCCTTGCCTAGGGATGTGTAGCAAAACATTCAACCATGTGCACACTTCTGCCTTTTTCCCCCTGTATAATGTAAAAGCCGTCAGTAAGCCATTATGAATTCAGGCTTAAAAGAAGAGTGGAGTCAGCCTTCTCCTACGAGTACTTCTCATGTGCCCATTTCCCCATATTCTCCACGAAACATGGGGGGGGACTCTCTCATTTTTCTTCAGACATCCTGTGCACATTTTTTACATGTCTAGGATGTCAGTGGAAAGTAAAGTTTTCTAAAAATGCAAAACGGTTACCTTTTCCAGTGACTGTGAACAAAATTACGGTAATTGTAAGTGCTGCATGTAGGGTACTCAGATGATAACGTGAATTAGAAATGATGATAAAAAGGTAATCATCTTCTCAAAGTCCCGCATCTAATTGGACTGAATCTGGGCACATTTAAGCGCGGATAGGGATGTCCTTGGTATGCCAAATTGAAAAACACATTACATTGAGTAACTGCTGTCCACCTTGAGCAGAAGCACCCCCCCCCCTTATCAGAGCCTTGTTTGTTGGGTGTGTTCCTCTCGTTGGTAGCAATGTAACTGTAGCACGTGCATTTCATAGTTGTTTGTGAAGCAGCAAAGTGCAGTTTTCCCACCAGGGGAGCCTGCATTGCTGGCAAAATAGCAGCCACTCTTGGTCCAGCTCAGAGCTCGTTAGATTGCAGTGATCTTGGGAGGCAGAAGCTTCTTCCTTCTGGAAATAAAAAAAAATTGGTCCTTTAAAGGTTAAATTTGAGAAATGCCCTGTCTCCATTTGTCTTTCTTCCCAAGATTATTACATTCGTACATGCTAGCTTGAATTCACTCAGACTGAACGCAGTGTTGCCTACATGTACATCACCCACCTCATGACAAACACTGCGCCAGCAACCTCAAGCTCCGGAACAGTCTGGTTTCCTTCTTTTGATGCCATTCTCACCCCATTCCTAACTGTACGAGAGCCTGCCCCTAATCGATTGAAACCACAAAACAGGTCTGCAGTCAGGAGGATATAACATTAAAATGTGTCACGCATTTCAACAAGTCAGATGGCATTCGGATTAAGCCCATAAATGGTCATAGGTCATTTTGCATATGGTTTGTTTACTGTGTTCAGATATTTCTGGCAGTGAGCCACGTGGGTACACTCAAAGTCATTGCTCCAAAAGTGGATGAAGATACTTCAGTTGATAGGAAATCCTTTCTAACTGTACATTAGTATGTTGATTTTTTTTTTCCAGACTTTCTGGCAGAAGAGAAATTACCATTTCCGTTGCTTGGAATCCCGATTTTCAGAATCTTCTGTATTTTATCCAAAATTTCAGCTGGCTGGCAGAATTTTTTGAAGTACAAGCACAATATTCAAATAATCCAGCAAAGCCTGCATTAAAGGCTTGAAAAGTCACGATATTAGTATACTATCATTTAACAACACTTCCGCTGAGTGTTTCCTTGACTGGTCTTCATCTCCCAGTCTCATCTGAGATTTGTACCTGAGGCTTCTGTGCTTCAAATTCCAAGGCTTGACACTTGCTACCTTTTTTCCCGCTTCTTTTGCAGGCTCCTCGCATCCTTTGCATCGGCCCCAAGGACATCTCACTGCTCCATCCATCCTCCAAGGCGGTCCTGCGTTGCCACCGCACCGCCCTACTCCAGAACTGGCACATTGGGCCCTGCCGGCACGGTGCCAGCCACCAGCTGCTCTTGGAGTTCCAGGCCGGCAGCAGCAGCAACAACAGCAAGTGGGCCGTCCAGCCCCTTAGCTTCTTGGAGTTGAAGGCCATCTGCGCCAACCTGACTGCCGTCATGCAGAAGGCGCAGGAGAATGGCGACATGGACGGGGAGTCACAGGTGCCCGAAGGGTCTCCATCCACTCTGAGTAAGTCCTGCCTTCTGTGGCAGTTGCCAGTTGTCTGTTTAGTAGCCCGTGATGATCATGACATCCACTCACTTCTTGTGGAACGGACTGTTGCACAGAATGATCTCAAGCAGGCTGGGCAGATGTTTGCATGTTTTGATAAAGCAGGATTTCTTATGTGCGCATGTCTTTTTCTGCTGGCTTTAGCATTGTTCCTCTCATGTTCACAGGAGGCAGAACCACTGCCATTTGCTTGCACTGTGCAGCATGTTCATAACCAGTTCTCAGGTGTTCAAGTTGATGTTGAGATCCTTTTCAGGTCGCCCTTGAAGCAGTTTTTTTTCTGGAGGTCCCTGGCTCTGTTAGCAGACCAACCATAACCCCAACCTTTGTCTTCCTCACCCAAACCCCAAGAGATGCCATTGTTTCGATAAATCACAGCGCTGTATCGGTCGAAGAGGCTTTTATATGTAACGTGTGCACATGACCTGCAAGTCAGCAGGGTACCACCACAAATTCCTTTATAATTCTTGTTGCAGGGCCAGTCCAGGAACTGTTTTCAAGTATCCAAATGCCCTTCGAGTCCAATTCAAATTCACCTCGTACACTGCTTTCAGTGTAAGGGTGCCTTCCACCAGAGCAGTAGATTCCTGAGCATGAGCTCATTCGTATTTAGTGATCTTACGAGCTATTTACTATATGTTGTGCCATATAGTTACTGATTATGGAACTTTTTCTGTAAATCGAACATTTGGGACTTGCAGCTCCTGACCCAGGGTATTTGGCTCACAGAACCTCCAACCTGTCGAGCCTACATCTATTTTGCATAGAGGCAGGTGGCTGCCAGTACATGTGTATATTCAGGCCTGAGCCCGCAGTTTGACTGCTGTTTGGGGATATGTTGGGGGGGATCAAACAGAATTGTCCCTGCCTAACATTTGTGACTTTGCAAAGAATATTGTCCTTGTGGTTATAATCTGGAATTTCCAGTGAAACAGACAAGGGCAACCGGTTCTGAGTGTCGCCAGGTGGTGCTATTTCTCACCAATTTTGTGGTGTTTCCTATGGGTGCATATTTAGTGTAGTACAACCTGCGGTTTTGCCATGTAAGTCCCTGAAGAAGACAACAGCTTTCTCAAACTCGTGAAAAGCATTTAATTCTTTGAGACCCCAAATTGGATTTACATGTTGGGCAGAAAGTTTGTTTTGGATACATGTAGGTTTTGTTAGATTAAGATAACATACCAGTATGGGTCTAAAGGCAGGTTTGTTTACAAGTTGACGGGAATATCTCCTGCAGGGATTGTTTTGGAGTACATGTTGGTATTTTATGACTCCATGAACAAAATTCGTGCCAAATACAATTGTTGTTGATTCAAGGTGCACTTTCATGCATATAAAAATAAATCAGAGCACCGACCTGTACATACGAGCTCTGTTCGTGTTCATGTATGTCTCTTGCCACTTCATTGTCTCCAAGATTAGACTCTTTTTCAGCCTGTTCCTAAGACCAGCATAGATTTACGACTTGGGGTCCAACATGAACATGCTCGTGTAAACAGGTAGCACATGTGGTCGTACACATTGTATGTCCACCTCCTCACATGTTATAAACAATTGCAGTTAGGAAAGAGTAACAGGTACATGTCCGTGGACCATAAAAAAAACAGAAGAGTGCATTGATGTCATGGTGTCAAGTGGTAACTGCTTGATTGATGTTAGACACCACAACCGTGCACTGTTGGCAGTGGCATCATGTCGGCAACATGCACGTCGTGACAAATGCAGAAAGTTAGCGCTCCTGAGAAATAATGGCATCACACTGCAGCACCAACCGCGCCATCCTCGTGTGGACCAGAGCAGAACTGGTCCACATGATGGAGGAAATGTGGTCCTTTTGTGGACTAATCCAGGTCTTTACAAGGTTTCCCCTTTTTGGAAAAACAGGTTTAGTGTCATTTTAGAGCCAGGATTATCCATAAAAGCAGGAAGAGAAAGTGTGTTCACAATTTAAAAAAACAGAGTACATGTACATGTACCGTATTTTCACCAAGTTTTTCTGAATGAGGCACATGGTTGCCAGTGTGACAGACTGCCATGCAGAGATACATGTACATGTACTTGAGGTGATGTTCCCCCCCCCCGGTGCAAGCCAGTATTTTCCATTGTAAACATAAAAGTTATTTTTATATTTTGCGTGGTTATAAAGAGGAGAGGCTTTAAGCTTGATAATGCTTTTTTTATTTCATTTTATTTAAATTTGCTGTGGGCAATCCAGAAATACTGTATGCCCAAGTAAACACAGTGAATCAAACTTGAGTTCGTGCCACTCCTTGGTCTGATCTCTAGACCTACGGTAAATGAAAGAACAACGTTATGCTTATTTCACCTTTAGAATAGGATTTCATAAGGAGATGCTGACTGCGCCGCATGCTGGAACCTGCTGAGGAGTAACCCTTTACTGAAAATACATGGCACACACTCAATTTTGGGTGCGTGCATTCACTGGGGCAAACATATACATGAATCTGTGAATCACCATAAGGATATAAAGTAAAATTCAAAGTATCGTCAAGCTGAGAGTGTCCTCTTTAAAACCGTGTAAGTTATAAATACAGCCAGTTGACATTTTATGTTTAGATACCTGTCGACTTCATTTGCTGGGGCATGCCCTTGGCAGCACTGTATGCTGCTGGCTTTGGTCACGACTAATGACATTGAGGCAGCACACGAGCGTCTGTGTTCAGGATTTTTATAGTGACTTAAGAAAGTCAGGTGACAGCCCTAGCATTCGCTGTTTGGTAAACATAAAGATTGAAAGACTTTCAATTATTACAGGGTATTTGTCACGAACCTACAAGCAATTTGCCGTATGTGGCACCACACTCGAAAGCTTGTGTACATGTATAAATGAAGTGAGATGTACACTTTACATGATACGCCGTTGGCAAGTCACAACGCCCTTTTGGTCAAGGTACATGTACATTTACGTGTATTAATGTGCACATTCGACCTGCATGCGAGTATGGTGCCACCACAGTTAGTGGCTTCTAAACATTTGGTATGTACATATGCATGTAAATGTAGACCGCATCTGGCTCTCATCACCCATGGGATAAACACAGCAGACGCCATGAATTTAGCCAAAGTTTTGTGTCTTTGAAATTAGACTCTGGGTGCATGTCCCACTGGTAATTGTGCGCATGCTGCAGGTGTTCTTAATTAATGTTGAAGTGTGCATACATGCATCAGTACATAGCGATTTAGCAGCCCCAATTTTGTCTGACAGAGGGTTGAATGTTCAAGCATGATTTTGGCACGTGTGGCACCACCTCAGTAGCTACGATCACCAGATTTAGTTGTCTGGAGTGTACATATGTGCACACCTTATAAGATGATTACATGTGCAAATGTACCGTACATGTATACATACTCTTAGTTCATTGGCATTGCATTCACAGATGCACGTGGTAGACACCAGGGCCTGATAGCAGGGCATTGCAAAACTTGGAATCTGGGTCTGGGATTGACATTAGTTTTCAAAACAACAGCCTCAAAATATTAACGAGAACTCTCTGTCTACTCTCAGTGGAAGCAATTTTCTGACGTAGTATCCAGGGTGGATAAATATGGTGTGAAATCACACTGATGTACACTTGTAGGTTGCTACATCTAAAGCTGCGAAATTGAGATATTAGCCTTTTCAGTTGGCCCATTTCATGTCGCTGAAAGCCAGTCAAAGTAGTTAGTATTTGATCCGGTTTTTTTTGTTTGTTTCATCTTTCAAAATAACCCTTTGTAAACCTCTCGAGACAAGTGACAGCCTTTACCCAACCTTTAAATAGTATCAATATTTTTGTATTTTGATTTTACTTCCTAGTGTTTTTCACTCATTTCTCAATAGCCCCCCCGCCGCTATGCATGAATTAATGTGTTTATTTCGAGATTTTTCCTGCCCCCTCGTGTATCTGTCATCGGCAAGAAGTCATTTTCCTGGAGTCTTAATCCAATCCAGATGGGACAGGCTGTGCTTCACACAATGTTGGAAGCCAGTGGAAAGTAAAAAAAAATGTTGCAGTTCCATTTGCGAGGGACACATTTACATTTCCTCCTCTTTCTCCCTTTTCTGGCACTAAGATCTGGACTGTCTGGGAGGGATGCCATGTCTTTATCTTGTCCTGTATCAAAGCTCTCAGATGTAGATTAAATCAGCTCTGTAGAGGCTTTGAGCAGAAGCCATCTTGCAGGGCAGTTCTTTTGTCCCACAGGGAAAATGCCTTTCAGCATACCCTGTGGAACAAAAGAACTGCCCTGAAGGATGGCAGCCATGCAAACCCTCTATATGTATTGTATTATTTTGAACAAGCCTATTTGAGAGTACCGTTACTTGAGAAGATTATGCCTCACTCTCTCCCATAACCCTAACAGTCCCGAATCCTCCAATTTTAATATGATTTTGCACACACCCTAGGGAGTGAGGGATAAAGTTGCATTTCCAGCAGACAGATAGAGCTTTGTTCCAACCTTAAAAGCACAGTTCTTTTAAAGTTGGTCATTTCCTTCCTTTTTTTCTAGGTCAAGTAGGAAATACATGTAGTTGATCTCGTGTCGCTGTATCACTATGGTATTATGAATAGATATTTCACGATATTACTGTTTTTCTAATTCATTCATGACTCTTTGGCATTGATGGCAGTGACATGGCATTGGCATGTGTTTTTACACCAGCTTTTGATAGTCAATTTTCACATTGAGTTGCAACATCCCAATGCTTTATGTCTGAATCCAGTTGGTTGTCCTTGCCCTTTTCGATAAACTGCTCTGACCTCAAATTTGTTCTGTATGGTATGTGTTGGCATGTACATGTACATGCACGGGCAGGTGATGCACATATACACATACATAACTCGACATTTGGACTGAGGATAGACACACACAGAAACAGCAAAGGATTCATTCTTCTCCCCAGGAATCAATCTTTTGTTGGAAGTAACTTTCTTCATGTTCATATTAGTGCTAAT